CACAATCCTGCTATTATCACAATCCTGGTCCCTAATTCCTGTAAATGAATAATTGACCACACGTTTATTTTGAAAAAGAACCTAAGAAATCATTTGAAGATTCCTAGATGATCGAAATAATGCTGTGGTGCTGTGGCTAGCGCTGTGAACATCGTGAACAGCATTGAATCACTGATATTTGAACATTGTACCCAGTCATTATCACACTCAGGCTCTAATATAACACTATCATAGCTAAATAATACAAGTTATAGATATATTTTGACATTATTAGGCGATGCTGTGGTCACATGCTGAACAGCAGTGCTGTGCGCTCATGCTGCGAGCGCCAGCCTTGGTTGCTCACACACTACTGAGGCTCCCACACCCGGGAATGTGGACCACGATTTTTTTTAAAGATGGCGTCTGTTTACAAGAGCCCTGAGGAAGCTGATGTGAACCCCATGTAGCCGCGGGAGTTTTGAATGGAACGTGAAAAATACAAATACCCGGAGGCGCGTTGCACAAACCAGACGTGAGCCTGCAGGCGCGTTGCGCAGTTTAAGGGTTAAATGAACGCGTGGAAACTGCTACTAAGGAGGCTGTCCGCACTTGTCCTATTTCCTAAAATGGCATTCTTATTCAGACTTCTACCCACTCTTTCATTACTCAATCCACAACTGCTGGCAGGGTCATTGGTCTGAGGTTACTGGTAAAGGGCTTTGGCTAGGTCATGTTTTGGCCATACATACTTTACTCGTTGACATTTTATGGAATGCCACTCTGCTCCTTGCTGTCCAAATTCGAAAAAAACTTGCTGTCCTCTCGAAAAAATCTTTGGTGAATCCAATACCATTGATATTGCTCGCCTCATGTGTTTATAATAAAGTTCTAATATTGGCATCCAGTAATATTTAGGGCCTTTTGAATATCCAGTGACACTGATGGTGCTACAAAAATCTCAATTTTAGTGCCTTCTTTTGATAATTACTTGGTCACTGGCAGTACTGAGGCTCTCATAGCTAGGAGGGATGTTGACAATTTTACTTTCAAGATAGTCTGTTTACAAGTCCTGAAGAGCCCTGTGTACCTGTTGAAGTTTTATGAAATACTCACAAACGTGATATACTGGTGTGTGCGTATATGTTTTTCCCATGATATCATTGTGTGCACAGTACAGTGGGTAAAGGTAAGATCTTCTGACACTATTACTCCTAAAACTCTTGTATTGCTTTTTCTTTCTAAAGTGTGCTTTGACTGTATTATGTGGTTTCGGGTTTAATATTTTTTTCTTTTCCATGGCTCGGTAACGAACTGGTCATGGTGGAGCAAGAAAAGCTCATGGTGTCGTGTTTCTCAAACATTAATGGAGCAATCCTCCTTTTGGAGGTTCCAACAGGCCAGGAGTAAGGAGCTTGCTGGGGTTGTCACAAAGATATTTTTACATATATTTCAATGTCACTATTTTTCACATGGTTTTTTAGTACTGTACAGTATTCAGTATTGTGTTGAATGAAGTATGTGGAACAAAAATGTTCATACATACGACACTAATATGTGCACTATATTATGCTCTTAGAACATTAAAACAATGGAATAACAGCTTCTGCTGTTATTACACTGTATACATATCTTGTATATAAAACTGCATCTTTATGCACCAATACAAAATACTAAACTGTTCTAGTGAGTGTAGTAATATCTCAATCTGATCATAGCATGGTGCCGCATGCTAGTTGGTTGACAACTGCACTAAACAGAGCAAAATGCCTCCCAATATACAATGCACATTGCTAATTGTCACAACACTGCTGTTACTTTCAGAATCCTGAATATGAGTAATTTTCCACGTTTATTTTCTAAATGAACATGAGGCCCCCCTGTTTCATGATGTGCCAGACTCCTGCTGCTGTCCTGTGATTGTCTGTCACATGCTGTGAAATTGTAAGCAGCATTTGGCTCACTGATATATGAACTTTGTGCATAGTCTTTATCTCACTCAGGATCTTTGACACTCATTGTAAAATGATCGCAGTTATTTATTTCATTGTCATTAAGTGATGCTGTAGGCATAAGCTGCATGGCAGTGCTGTGAGCTGCTACTGCTGCATGTGCTACTCATGGTCACTCAGTAATTGAGGCCTTTATACTCAATAGGGGTGCCCACAATTTTTTTTACAAGATGGTGTCTGTTTACTGGAGGCCTGAGGAAGCAAATGTGGGTCCTGTGTACCTGCGCGAGTTTTAAATTGTGTAGTAAAGTACTTTAAGACGTCCTTCATGTCGCATAGCTTACTGATAAGTAGTGAGAACATCTTGATCGTCTTGTGTGGTTGAAAGGTTAATTTAGATCATAAAGGGAATGACATCAATCAAGTTCTGGATCAGTGTCCAAACCTATGCATTTCTGTGGCTTGTCCATTTCAGAGAATTGGTTGAGAGATGTTCCTCGATGATTTTGAGGGTCATTGTCAAGCTTCTCATAAAATCTCAAGTCTCTAGTGTTGCTTCTCTACCAATGGCAGTATGAAGTTGCTTGGTTGTCCTCTTGGCATTATGTCTCCTTGGCACCTGTCCTCAGTGTCAGTTCTGGTCTTGTCATTTCTTTATTGGCCTAGTTCTGTTGTTTCCTTTCCTCTTGGCAGTCACTTACTATGGCTTTGGCTTTTGACATCACACTTCATCTTTTTGCTGTTTTGCAAGTTCGTGTCATTTCTGGAAAGGCTGTGCAGTGGTTTCCTGGTTAGCTCATCTACAGTATCCAGTCACACCAGACCCTTGAGTCAATAATAGCCTACTGTCAACCATAGGCCAAAACTCTGACTTCCTCAGAGGTGCGGACAGCAGGGGATATGTAATTTCCTTCTCCATGATAGCCACCAGAAAGATAAGGTGAAATAAAATAGACAGCAGCTAGGTAAGTCAACAACTTTGCAAGTCATCCTCAGAGTAGTTAGGCAGTTCATCTTCTAGTTCCAACTGCCCACCACCAGGTAGCCACACCAGAACCCTCTCCAGGTCAACTGGGAGCTCATGGATGTTGGCCCTGCACTGACTGTTACTTCTCTGTAGTGTTTGGGAGGTTACCCCCCTGAAAGGCTTTCCGCTGGGATGGAGGGCCTCGCCCTGGGTAGTGCCAGTCAATGACTCGTAGACTACCCACACTGGGGGCGTTCTATTTACTTGTGGCATGCTAGGGTTTTTGTTTATATGGCATGCTGCAGACACCCTTCATAGCCAAGATCATTACCTTGCTCTGTTTGGTGTCTGTTCTTTCAATGAGAATCTTTAGTACCTGGGTGTCCTGCTTGGTTTGTTGCCATCAATCCCTGGTAACTCCATGTGAGTCTGTGGACTGTTATGGATAGACCTGCCAAGCATGTGCTAGCTACATGCAAATTTGAAGGGTGCTCCTTGGTGTTTTTTACAAGTTGGTCTCGTCTGCCTGGGCCATGCCTGCAGCTGCCTGCACCATGGATCAGCAGCACTTTCGACACTGAAGCCTGCAGCATAAGTGCTTGTTAGGTTCTATGTAGTGGGCTTCTCACGACAAGAGGCTTAACAGGCAGGTGCCAGTTTGCTGGCTTGCTTTTTCCACGTTCATGGTTTGCTGCTTGGTGCTAGTTTGGATGCCCCAGAGTTGGCTTGAAGGTGGTGTTTAGGGACTAAGATTTAGAAAGGATGGTGTAAGTCTGCCCCTCTTCTTCCTTACCCTGTTGGTGTGGTCGACCCATCTTCTGGTCTTCACCCTTCCTGATTCCAGCTCCAAAAGTGCCCGAGAGTTTGAGTTGCGTCAGGGTTTAGCTTTGAAGGTAGCACTTCCGGGAGGGGCCCCCATTCAGTTCAATGGTGGAGGCTGTTGAGCCATCTCTTCCTGCCAAGGATGCAGAACCTTCTCCTTCATACCTAATATCTAGCGTCTGTCTTTCTCTTTGGGATGATGCTTTCCTGTTCCAGGCATTGTGTGCAGAATATGACTTCACACCATTATGACTTGGCTTCCATGGCTGGGGAGGAGTCCAAGAAGGATCCATGGGTGCCCTTCAACCCCTCCTAGACTTTCATTCTGCTTAATTGTTTTGCTCCTTGGGGAGGACATCTACCCCTCCCTCAATGTACGAGTTCAATTACTAGGCTACTCTCAAGTACTCATTTCAGTGTACCATTCATTTCCATGAATCGTCACCTTTCCAGAGGTTTTCGTTGTCCCGCTTTATGCATTCTGTGGTACAGGTGGATCTCTCTGTTCCTAGGCCTAATATAATGTGTGTGCTATACTAGGCCTAGAAATATTTAAGTTTGTTTTAGCTTCAGTTTTTCTGACTGACGTGAATTGTACCTAATTATATCTATAATTGCCATTTAAGTCATTGTATGTACTATGGTGCACATTGTTACAAAAAGTGTACTCTAAACAGGAGGATGGATTGGCCACTACCTGTGTGCCAGACATTTTTGTCTTGGTAAATGCCTTGTTGATCGGGTTTACTTGGTCCCATGTTCTCATGCTGTGGACTGACCTGGAGCTGGCTGGTAGCTTGAAGCTTTGAGTGGGATGCCATCTGTTGGTGGGCATTTGCACTAAGGGGCTCGTGCTAGTTTAGAGTGAATCATTTGTTTTGGACAAATTGTTTGACTGTATCATTGCATAGTTTTCTATGAACCTTAGTTATTTGTCTGTGTTGCTTTGTTGACTTTCTGGATGCTTTCCTGGTATTGATCGTAATAATACCAAGTGCGCTCTGCCTCTTATGATGAGTGGGTCTGGTTCTTGCTCTCGTAGGTAGGGCAAACAGGACTCTTCTGATTGATGTGACCCATTATTGGAATGCCATCTCAGCCAGATAGCTTTAGGGAGCTACCTTTCCTGAAGCTTACAGGGGATCTAGCAGAAAGAGGAGTATCATTACATTCAATGCTGTTTGTCTATAATGAAATTTTTTACTTTTTTTTTTATGGCAAGGCTTAATATGTAAACATTGATCAAGTTTCTAATTGTTTATTTTATAATTTTGTTATAGGTGAAAAGCTAACTGATGAAGAAGTTGAGCAGTTGCTAGCTGGCCAAGAAGACTCGCAAGGCAATGTTAACTATGAAGAATTTGTTCGTCTTGTGCTTAATGCCTAACATTTTAAGGCTTGGAATGAAGTATAGCAATGCAATCAATATTTATTTTTCTTGATAATAAATTATGCTTCCAGTATACATTCCTACTAATATAAAAGTTAATCTAGTTATATAGGTAAAACGATTATGGTAAATTCATTTAAATATTTCATAAATGCTTTCATTAAAAAATTTTAAATGCAATTAATTTTTCATTGTCAAACTAGCAATAATTGCAACAACTAGTCCATACTGCTTTTTTTTTTATTCATCTGCTTTAATCGGAAAGGGTATTGTAACATACATTTTTCATTGATTATGTATGAAAGGTTTGTGTACCACTGGTATCTCTTTGGAATGAAACGGTCTTTTTTGAAAATAATACAAATTAAATTTATAATGTGAACAGGCCGTCAAAGAGAAAAATTTGTGTGCCTAAGAAAACTGTTAAATTTATTAAATTTTATATAATTAAAATATTTAGTTTTACTGTCCAAATATGTTGACCCAATAAAAATGTCCTCACCCCAGAGGTGGTGGTGTTATGGTGAAGGGACTCGCCATGACTCCCTGCGGCTGGTGAGGGAAGGTGCTTTCCCTTTCCCAGCCCCTGGGGAAACATGCAAAAGATACAAATATAAGGCACCTATTTATCAAACTGCAGGTCAATTTGGGCAAAATGGCAAATTGCCATTTTCACTTGGTTTGAAAAATACGATGTCTTGGAAACATGACTCTTGGCCTTTATTTTTAGCGTAATTCAGAGCGATTGCACACATTTGGAGTTTTAAGTTGCGCCTTTTTATACCGAAAATATGTAAATAAGTGAAAACGTCGAATTAATGGAAGTAGCACAATGGTCAACTTCCAAGGCCAGGAATCAAATGACTGTAAAGCTGCTTCCTAGTTTGGTGGGTGTGAAGCAAGACTAGTAACTGTGACTCACCATAGATGTAAAGAGCCTTGTATAGTAACTGTTGTGAGCCTCTTGTTGAACCACTTGTGACATAAAAAGATTATTGATATGTATATATATTTGTGTAAGTGATTGTACAGTGGTGTCTTAAGATTTCAATCTGTTCCCAGAGACGAAACACAAGTCGAAATAACAGGAACCGATGAAAGAGCATCAGAGGTCCCACACTATCTCATTGCCTGGGAGAGGATTGGAGTTCTGGTTGGTTAAATACCCCAGAATTCCTACCTCTCTTATGGCTTTGAAGTATGGTGTAGTGGATACAGCATGCAACTGCCACCTTGTTGGCCAGTGTTCGAGTCCCCTGGTGGGTTGAGTGTCTAAAAAAGTTATATATATATGTATATATATATATGTCGTACCTAGTCGCCAGAACGCACTTCTCAGCCTACTATGCAAGGCCCGATTTGCCTAATCGGCAAATATTTTTTATGGTACAAAATAACAGCAATATTGCAGAGCCAGATAATATAAACGATGAGAGCAACAGTGAGACAGAGTGCATAGATGAAGGAATTGGGACGAAAAACGGAGATGGCTCCAATAAAGAGGTAGACAAGACAGTCACAGATATAAATACCTTGAAAAACGCAAAACCGGAACACATTTGCAAATTCTACGCTAAAGGAATATGCAAATATGGAAAATTAGGAGCAAAATGGCATGTTCTGCATCCTCGAAAATGCAGGAACATGTTGGATAGCAACCCGTTCTCGCAAATTTAATAAGTCAATATTGACTTATTAGTTGCGTGCATAGGTGACATACTAAACATAATTGTTTCCCTTGAAAAGCTTCATTGAAAACACCGACCTTACCTAACCTACTTAGTATGTTAAAATAAGCATCTTATAGCTTCGTAATTACAATTGTTACTTAACCTATTATAGGTATAGGTTAAGTAATAACTGTAATTACGAAGCAATAAGATGCTTATCTTAACATACTAAGTAGGTTAGGTAAGGTCGGTGTTTTCTATGAAGCTTTTCAAGGGAAACTATTATGTTAAGTATGTCACCTATGCACATATTTAAGTCAATATTGACTTATTAAATTTGCGAGAACGGGTTGTGGATAGGGGTACATGCCGTTTTGGAACAGGGTGTAGATACTTCCACCCTAAATTATGTCAATTTTCAATTAGGGACAAAAAATGCTACAATCTTCAGTGTCCGGAATTCCATGCGAGAGGTACAGAGCGTTATAGACGGGAAGATCAATATGACACTACTGGAAATTTTTTAGAGGAAGGCAGAAACAGAGTAGTAAATATAAGAGAGAGGAACAGTCAGATGGAACCACTACAGGATTACAGCCCCCTCCCCGCTCAGCTCGTTGTCGCCGTGTGGGGGCTTCGTGGGCGGCTGCCGGAGTATGATGCTCCTTGGGACAGTCCTCTGTCCTTTTCTAGCCTTGTGCTCCTGCTGCCGTCCTCTCCAATTCTGCTGGGCACCTTTTCCTTTTCCTTCTGTTTCGTTTTTCTCCCCCCTCTTCTCCTATCTGCTTGCCGTTTCCTGCCGACCTTTTGCTCGTTCTGATTCTTCCCTTGGACTTCTTCTATTTTGACGCCCGGGTGCTTGAGGAGGCATACTCATGCACCCGTAGAACTGCAGTACCCGACGTCGAGAGCGAGGAGAACCTTTTATTGTCAATCCCCACTTCGTCACTGAACCCGATCTCGACGGACTGTCGGTTTCTTAAGGTGGCGTTTGTGGGGCGTATACTCACGACGCACCCCTAGGAGGCCCTGACAAGATCGGCGATAGCTTCTTGTTGGGTGTCCTGCCTCTAATTGTGGCTCCATGGTGGGTGTGGGGGCACATTCGTGAATGAATTCTCCTTTTCGTCAAGATGATAACCCCTGTTTCGGCTGCTTCTGGCTTACCTTCTCAGGCTCGTGGGGTGGGCGACTGTAGCGAGTAGATCAAGCCCCCGAGTCGGTCCGTATTGGAAGACCGGGCTCTGTAGCCTCCGCTGCATTGGGCCCCGACCTTGCTCCTCCTTTGGCCTCTCTGACTCCTTCCCCTGGCTCCCCTCCCTCCTCTGTGGTTGGGTCGAGCCCCAAGCCCCCAGTGGTGACTACCTCGTCCCCTGACGCGGCTCCTCCTCTAGTTGTAACTACTGCGCCTTTTAACCCCTCTCTCTCTGGGGGTTCTCATCGCCGTCCTCGTCACGGCCGCCCTCGCTCGATTCCTTCCAGTTCTGCTACCTATCAAGCCTTGTTTGGTCCCGCTTCGTGGGCCAAATATTTTGATCTTCTCCCTCTTGATTCTGCGCCTCCTGACGATTTCTCCCTCCATCGGCATCTCATTGATTCCGTGGATGCCTCCATTACTTTCAACCCCACTCGTCTCGGTACACGTGTCGTTGCTGCTCCTCAGGATGCTGCTTCCCGCTTGGCTGCCTTATCCTGCCTTGGCGAGACCCCCGTTCGGGTCTCGAAGAACGCTCAGTTGAATGCCAGTGTTGGCACTATTTTGCTCCCGCCCCATGTTGCGACCGGTGTTCGGGACCTGCGCGACTGCCACGACGATATTCGCCATATCCTCGCTGCCCAGGGCCATTCTATTCTCCAGGTGGACACGTTTACTCGTCCCCCTCGTGGTAGTCGCCGTCAACCCCTCCGGGTTGTGAAGATTACCTTTGATGGTCGGACCCTTCCACCCTCTGTCATTCTTGCTGGTGCCAGGTGCTCTGTCCAGGAGTATATTCCTTCTCCTAGGCTCTGCAACAAGTGCTGGAGGTTTGGGCATGGTGCCCTCCGCTGCTCCGGGACTGTCTCTCTCTGTCCTTTGTGTGGTGGCGAGGGTCACTCTAAGTCGGAGTGCACTTCTCCCCAGGCTCGTTGCCTCAACTGCGGTGAGGCCCATCCTACCTTCTCCCGTGCGTGTGTCCATTACAAGCTTGAGGCAGCCGTCCTCAACTTGAAGCACCGGGAGCGTTTATCTTTTCCTGAGGCGAGGCGCCAGGTTCGCCGGCTCCCGCCTTATGCTAATATCTCTTATGCTCGCGTGTTGCGCTCTTCCTCTCCTCGTCCTTCCCGCCTTCCTCAGACTCACAACCGTTTCCGGGCCTTGGACCCTGATGCGCCCACTGCCCCCTCCTCTGTTCTTTTGGGTTCTCTCCCGAAGGATCCTCCTCCTGGTCCTCTGTCTGGGGTTCCCCTTCCTTCTACCCGGTCTGTCGTGTCTTCTGTGTCTTCTTCCTCGTCCCCCTCCGATCCTCCTTCCCATCCTCTTCCTCCATCTATCGGCTCTCCCCACCGCCTGTCGGTGCGGGCGGATGTCCATCGCTCTCCTACCGGCCGTCGTGTGTGCTCTCGTTCGGCTTCTCCTGTTGAGACACTGGAATCCGTTGCCCGGTACGTGGTTGCTGGGACGCCGGTCTCTTTAAGTCAGAAGCGTAAGCCTGGCTCCTCTCCTTCCTCTTCCCCGGTGGGTAAGAAGGCTTCGCTTTCTTCCTCAGCTCCTTCCCCTCCCGTTTCAGTGCTTGCGCCCCCTGTTCCTGTTATGGAGGTTTCTTTGGCCCCTGCTTCCCTTTCGGTTGCTGCTCTTGCTGGGGTGCGCTCCCCTCTTTCTACTCCCCCTCCTCCTGCTGCTGTCCTTGACTGCTCCTCTCCGTTGTCTCCTCCTCTTCCTCCTCCTCCTCCGGACCCTGCCCGCCCACCTCTGACCTGTTCTCCCGTTTCCTTCCCTCCGTCTTTGCTCAGTTTACCCATGCCCCCTAACGCTGACTTTGCTGACCCTGATCCCGACCCTGATATTCTTTAACGTGCTCTGTTGCTCTTTCGCCTTTGTTTCTTCCTTGTTCTCTGTTTTTGTCCTTTCTCTTCTCGTCGTTGTCCATTCTTCAATGGAACGTTCGAGGTTATTACGCCAATTTCCTCGAACTCCAACTTCTGATTTCGCGGTTTTCTCCCCTTTGTGTCTGTCTCCAGGAGCCAATGCTTGGTGCTCGTCCTGGTCGTTTTCGTGGCTATTCCTTTCTCTCCCCCCCCCCCCAGCCATTGCTGGGGCTTCTAATTCTTCTGCTCTCTTGATTCGGGCTGATGTTCCCTTTGTTCCTTTACTTTTTCCTTCGCCTCTCCATTGTTCTGCTGCTCGTATCTTTGTGGGGAAATGGTACACAGTTTGTTCCATTTATCTCCCCCCGAGTGTCCCGCTCTCTCTTCCTGATTTGAAACACCTCCTAGACTCCTTGCCGGAGCCTGTGCTCCTGCTGGGTGACTTCAATTGTCGTCATTCTCTTTGGGGTGACGTGCTGACGAATACCCGGGGTCGCCTCCTTGAGCCGTTTCTCCTCTCTTCTTCCCTGTCTCTTCTGAATTCTGGTGAGCCCACTCATTTGGACTCTCGGACTCGCACCCTTTCTTGTCTTGATCTTTCTCTCTGCTCTTCTTCTCTTTACTTAGATTTCACGTGGCAGGTTCTTGATGACCTCCATGGAAGTGATCATTTCCCCATCCTTGTTTCCTTTTTCTCTTTTCGCCCTTCCCTCTCTT